TATTTTTTCCAATAACGCCATCAAAGCTTTTGACTGCTGCTGTTGCTGCTACATCATCCTCATCTGAGAGTTGAGTAACTGCTGTTGGCTTTGTTGCTGTTGCTGCTGCATGACTTTCAGCATGTCTGCTTGTTGCTGTTGCATTTGCTGTTCCCTCAAGACCTCCATTTTCTCTCTCTGAAGTGTTTGATGCTCCTTCTTCATCTTTAGGTCTTCCGCTTTCAGTTGGTCACTTACTTTAGCTCTTTCAGTTATCTATTCGATAGCATCACCTCCTCTTCTTCGTTGACGCTTCGGTTTATCATCGCTTTCATCTGCTGATGAGTCTCTTCTTCGTATCTGACAGCTTCTCCATCGCTTTTAGTCTCACATCTTCCGCCTTAGCCCGGTCATATGGACGTTTTTTACTACTTTTTTACTTATCTTAATAGATAACCACTTTACTTAAAATAGTTCTCCCTGCCCTCTTTGGAGAATTTCCAAATAACAAACCACGGTTTATTTTGCGTAGCTCAAAGTAGAACTTTAAATTTTTTAAACTCAAATCATCAGTTTTCATGTTTACTTAGTAATAGATTCATGGTGGTTTCAGAGATTGAAATATTGGTTATTATCACCTGGATAAATAAATGAATTGCATATTTCATGGGTTTTCCTTTCCCATCTTATCTACCCACGTTGTTAATTAAAAACATTATTCTCCTCTTCGGAGGAGTGACAGTTGCACTGTAAAAAAACAAAAAAAAAACCATTATCTGTGTTGTTTAATTGAAGACTGGCATTATTGACGTCAAAACATCCATTAAATTTTCCAGCCATCTTAAACGACACGAAACTACCTTTTCCCTCATTCAGTGACTTAACCCTGATCCAACCACACGAATCACTTTCACGTCAGTGGAAATCACGAAACAAACGTGAAATGTTGGAAATGAAAGATATCTTCGTGTTCGTGACATTAGCCACATCAACACAGGGTAAAAAGAAATCAATGCAATTTATTGCCTGATGGCTTTTTCTTTACTGATCTCTCGCATGTGCGATCGTCATTTGTGTTCTGAGAGGAGGCTCATTTCCCAAAAGTCAATTTACACAGTTGAATGAAGGTGTGAATATTTTATCTGCCTAAAAAGGCACGCTTTGGGATCAGGTTCGACTATTAGTAACATTATCGTAAAAGTATAAACATTTAATTTCAGTTATCGCAAATATACAAGATTGATTTTGAATCTGAGTTCATTTTGGCGTTTCCGAACGCTTCCCAATCAAGTTAGCTAAATCTTTCACTTTACCTACTCAGAAGTTCTCCTAATTTACGCGCGCTGTATGCTTCTAACATTTTTCTGAGAATTTTTTTTCTAAAAGCCTCAGGGTGGATAAAATGTTACGCGCAGTTTCAAATCAAAATTTTCTTTCCCTATTACTAACGAGCCACTGATTGGAGATTCTAAAAATTCGAAGTATTCACTTAACGCTGTAAAAGTATCACTTCTTAGCCGATTTCAAAGTTAATTCACTTTGAACATCGAGGATATGATTTCTAGTTTCCTATTCCGCAAATCTCACGGCAATCATGATTTTGCGTACCGAGGAAGCATGGAGACAAGTTATAAATTTTAACGTAAAGCAAAGAATTTGTGTTTGATATTCATGCATATGACTTACATTCTGTTCCCTGTTCTGGTTAGAGATAACTTGAGCAGTGGCATCGTCTCTTATTTTCAAATGGAAGCTATCATCCGCATTTTAAGTGGCAATCAAATACAGCCCGTATTTTTTGTTGTACTGTAATTAGAGATCAGACTCTTTCATATTCAAATGCCCTTTTTATACAGATTATTTTTCAATTACTTAAGAATCAGAGCTAAAAGAAAAAGATTTACCATTAACATTTCTCCAGCAACCACTCCTGGGTCGCTCTTTGTGAGCAAACCATATATACGTCCGCATAGAATTCCCTCCCCCGTTTCCCTTTGATTTAAGTCTCTTGTGTTTTCGCATTTTTTTTTATTAAGATAAACCCAAATAATTATTTGTGTGAAAAGAGTTTAGATTAAGCATTAATTTTTTTCATAGAAAACTAAATTGAAATTGAAGCTAACATTAGCAATGTTATAAGCAATGACCTCATAGGTTATGTTGTTTTAAAACTGCGAAACAGCTACTTAACTTTTATTTGGCCAAATTAAAATTCCAATTTTGAGAGTATCCGAGATGAAGGAAGGACTATAACCTCGTTGCAACACGTGGGGGGAAACAGCAAGGGGGTCCCTCCCTATGAATAAATTTATTCCTTTGCATAAACAGGACCATACTATCTTTTATTTCATTGTTCAGCCTCTTTGCTGAATTTCTTCATGAATGTTAAAAAAAAATGAATGATCAATGAATTCAATCGTAGACTCGAAAAAAAAACGCGGCATGAGAAATGCGCTGATTATATTTGAACATCTGCTTTGTTTGAGCAGAAGATCATGGATAACGAAGCTAAGTCGGAACTGGACCCAAATAGATTCCCCCTCAGAAATGTCACTCTCCTCGCATATTCCTTGAGAATCTAATTTTCCTAATTTTGACCAAAATTTTTTTTAATTTTAGTTTTAAGGCGCCGGTCCAAGTTAATCGTCTGGTGGGGAAGGGTTGGAAGAATGAAGGATTTTGATTTAGTCACAATCAAATATACCTGACCCCCCCCCCCCCCACCCGTCTAAGGCTCCATAGAATTCTAATAATTGCCCCTCACTGGCAGTCTCAGGCTAATTTTGCTCAACTTTTATATCGTTTTTTTTCGAAATCTAGAGAGTAAAGATACCTGGGCAATAACAATGAAAGATGCTCTTCTGAATGATGCAAAGATCATCTTAGACTTCCATCAGTGTAACGGAACTGGGGTAAACAAAGAACCTGTTATCATGCCTTTAAAGACTGGAATGCCTTGGACAGTGACTTGAAGAACTCTGGCACTATATGTCAGTTAAGGAACAATTTTTTTAAATCTTTTAATCTATAGCTTACTTTTGTCCTTTTTTTAATATCTGCAATTTTCATTTACTTTTAAAAATTTAATGTTATTTTGGATAAGGACCTCTCTGTAGATCACCTACGGGTGAGAGAGCTTCCGGTTTAAATATCATTTAATTAAATTAAGAGATGCAGAACAATTTAAATGGCTCAGCCGAGTGTTATTCGCAGGCTGTCAAGGTATGCGTACCCACTTATGCCATTAAGTACCCATCACAACGAATTGGCAACTGTCCGAACTTATGGCCAGGGGCATGGCACTAGCTGCCAACGTTCAAGGAGACTTGAGTTCATGGGTTTACTAGGGTTCCAAGCGACCAGAAAGGAACAAAAGATTTCAATGAAAAGAGGAAGGGGAACCATGGTTTATCAATAGCATATTTACTTAGATTTATGCCTTTTTGGTCAACTGGCATTGTAGGCCTATTACGTTAAATCAACGTTCAAAGTGTCCCAAAATACCTTCTATTAACTTAAGGATGCTAAAAGGCTTCATTTCGGAAAAAATCGCTTTTTTAGCCAAACTTGTATACCCAAGCCACTTAGTTTTGCTTGTTGTTGAATATTACTCACTAACTACCTATGAGCTGGCCAATTGGCGCAAAGGTTAATAATATCTTATAGTGTGTTGCATGCAAAAATCTTGAAACATGGTTTATAACCATATTTCAAGATTTGAAATATGGGAATGATAACGTGAAAAAAATAAAATGCAGTCTTAAGAAATGACTTACAATTATTCTGGGGCCACTTTTACTTTTAATTAGATTAACTGGTATAGAATGTTTATAATGCCCAGTCTTTCCTCAGGCATCTCAGTGACCGGTGAGCTCTTGTGTCATTAACAGTTCATCATGACGTCACTCAGAGCCTAGGTATGTCACAATAGCCTCGGCGGGCACTGTGTGTTGAGAAGAATTCCCGAACTGTGACATCACAGCGGTCGTGTCTGGATCTGTGTAAGCAGGAGGATGCTCTGGGCTATCTTGTGATGTCATGGTAGTTCTGCCATGTGCTACGTGTGAAGGAAGATTACCAGCGTCATAGTATGACGACAGAGTAATCTTACCAGCCATTGGATGATGAGGAGGGTATCTTACATCAGTATATGACGTCACAGCTGGATATGGAGGAGGATAAACATAACCAGCCTGTGACGTCATGGTATTCTCGTCCGATACTGCGCATGCGGGAGGATATCCTACACCGATGTGTGAAGGCACAGCAGTCGTGGGTGGTGGTGCGCATAGGCTAGCATATCGTAAACCAGCCTGTGGATCGAGGCAAAATGTTAAACAAAGATTAATTATTAATACAGATACGAATAAATAAATTTGATTGACAAGCTTTGAACTCCATATGGTCATAACCGGAAAACTGTATTCAGTAAGATCTTGACGTAAATCTGGTTACCGTTTGAGTCTGGTAAACGTATGCTCTAGGAAAACCGGCGCTTGCCCCTAATGGATCTTCACGGAGGGCCTGTATGTACGAATGAACCACAATCACGAAATAGATCTGAAATACGAGATGAAATAAATGAATGACATAGAAAATAAAAATAATTGACGAAAGTTGAACCGTTTATGATCATTCTACACTCAAGGTATGGTCCCGAGGGAAACAGTTAGTCCAGATGTTTCCCTCGACTTCGTCTCGGGAAAACAAAACTAACTAGTTTTCCAAGGGACCATTCATTAAGTGCTTTGTGATATATTTGGACTTTCCCCTAAACAATCATATGGCCAAAACAAACAAACATGCTGTTGTAATCAGCGCGCGGGTAACGACTGCGCAATTGTATCCCGGTAGGGATATACTTCAATCTGATTAGGGGCACGTGACCAAGAATCAACCAATCACAGTGCTCGTTTTGTTGAGTGAATGTCTAGGTATATAACAATAGTCTATGTTTACCCGTTACAGCTAATGTATTATAGTTATTTGATAAAATATTTTTTTATTTGGAGGATTAATGTGATTTTGTTCGTTTTATATGTCGATCATGACGTTTATTGTAGGAAAGTTTCTGCTGTTCAGTATCATAATTGAAACTAGCAGTGGAAGAGTTTTGACAGGTCTTGAATACAAGGTTTAAAATTAAACAGAAAAAAAGACATGTCCTTAGCATAGGAAGAGGGATTTATTCAAATAATTTCCCAAGCAAAATAGGAATTAAAAAAAGTAACAGTTATTGCAATATCTGCATACGCCCATCATAAATACAATAAAAAAAAGAAAAAAACGCAAAATAAAAAAAAAAATTAACTTACCGTAAGCAAACACCACAGGATTATCACAATATCTGCATATATAAACTGTGATGCGTTAAGCAAAGAAATATTGTAAGTTTACTTTGTTATAATATGAATTGACGGACAGTTTAGTGTAGAATAGTTTCACATGTGTGATTGAAACAGGCCGCAAAAAAGTACATTTCAAATTTATGAGGGAAATTTGAGCAGTACGAGATATAATCTCTTGGTTCAAGACATTATAACTGAATTTGCTACCGACAGACTATCAACAGCTGAACTTAAGAGAGAGATAACAGTTCGATGCCTGAAAATTTTTTAAATAATCTAAAAAAAGGTGCTATCTGTTCTAGAGTTCTATGAGATCTACTTTACCCGGAAAAGTGAGAGTGATCTTGAAAATTAGTAAGAGGAATCTAATGCGTTAATGCTAAACATACAAGATGCCGGGCTTTTTATGTACAGTTTTTTTCCAATCTTAGCTTTCAAAGTTGTTTGTCTTTTTTGTATAATTCTGAATTTTTACTGGTACAGTTACTGTGTCATTATTGCCAAAAATTGTACTCTGAGTCGTGTGATAATGTCATTGAACCCCGCGCTAGACACTTCAAGCATTTGATGCGGAGATAATGAATTTTTTCTTTTTGCCATTTGCACTCACCACATCGAAGACGGACAACAGGAAACTTGTCACTAAAACAGAGTATGCAAAATCAAAAACGTTCCACACCAGCCAGACCACAGCCAAATTAATGTTTTTCTGCAACAAGGGAGATAAATTTTGTTGTTATACTAAAACATAAACAACCGAAACAAACAACAACAACAATAAAGAGATATCGGGATCTTTGCCGCACAAATAACATCCATATGGACCTGGTAAATATGCAAGTTGTGTGTGCAAAAATTTAGGCTTAAAATCAAAATTCATCAGAGACATTTGACAGAGTGCCGGGTGAAAATTTCCTTGGGGGGGGGGGGGGTGCACCAAATGACAGTGAAAATCTCAAGGATAGCCTTAGATTGAGTACATAAATGCTTCACATTTATCGAGCCTCTGGGATCAATCCGCAAAAAACCTTGCAAATGTGTTAAAAACTGTGCGCCCATAACACATTCGATGAAGTCAGCCGTGTCTAATAAAGTTTGTAGACCATAGGCGAAGATTATGCCAGAACGCGTAACTAAAATGCACTCTATAGTACAAAACCTTATGCCATCTCGATTTTTCTTTACTTACCGTGCCAACGGATATTAGTAATGACACATTGCATAGGACTGAAATCACTTTGAGGGCGAGGGTTACATAAGCCAATGCGATGATGGCTTTGAGATAAAACAGAGAGAAAAAAAACAGACAACTTTAATCAAAACAAAGTTCAGAAAAGAATTCATAAAGCTCACTCACAACAATTCAAAGCAGGTTGATTTGAATAACAAATCCTTATTATCCCTTCAAAATACACTGCTGGAAAACACGCCATGGTTTAAACGACTTCTTCATTTGAGACTTGACGTGGAAACGTTGAATCCAGTCAAAACCATCCTTAAAATATGAATTTAATTGCTTACTGATGGCTCAAAAACGTGTTTGGCGACCAGCTTATTTTCATTATGGAATGAAAATATTGTCTTGGAACGTTAAAGTGTATCATGATTTTATTCCATAATTTAATGATATTTTTAAGATAAGGAAGGAGAAGTAGAAATACCTCCAATGTGCTTCTTGGCTACAGGGATATATTCTTCGTAGCTGTCCCAGTCTATGATAGCCTGGTTGTACTTTATGAGAGCTTTACTTTGGTTATAAAGCATGATTGCTTGGAAGATCTGAAATGGATATAAACAAAGACATAAATTTAAAATGTTTTAAAGGTGTTCTCTCGTTTGACTCGTTTGTTCGGATCTTGCCACTCAATAAGAATTATATCATGCTTGGCTTGCAGTGTGGCAACTGTTAATTTTGGCTATTCAGAAAATTTTGGATTCGACTCTTAATTTCTAGCGCAAATATTGTTTGGTTAAAAAAAGACGAAATTCATCGCGTTTATTTTGAATTTCCGCTGGACATGAAAAGTAACACAGCTCGGTCTTAGTCAATACAGACTAAATATTCTGCTACATTGTCTATTGGAACTTTCTAAAAAATCCAATTTACGCCATGTGGCATGTACATACTCTTGTAAACAATAGGTATGTTTCAACCTTATATACTAGACTAAATAAAACCTATACGCTGGGCAAACTAACACTACTTAGAGGGAACATCTCGAATAACATTGTGGCGTACACTAGCAACGCAACGTGATGTAGCGAACGAAACTGTCAAAATTATTTTTTTAAAGTCCATATTGCTAGCAACTTGGGGTCACTTGGGTTATCACAAGCGACGTGGGTGAATTAATTTAGCGCACGTGCTTCAATGGATAAGTTCGGCTTGTAGGGCGCTCGTGCTGGAGAGGGAATTATTTATTGATGCGTGACGTTGGCAGTCTGCTTTCTATCTAGATATTTTAATGGTGCGAAACGAATAATTGTGATATACATCACACTAACTATTATGATACAAAGATATAAAATTTATACAATACTGGGATAAAATTAACAAAAAAATTCGGATAGTACTTTTATAACTGTATCATATAAAATATAAGAGTATAAATAAAAGTACCTGGTGATTGTTAACTAAACAATGGAGTAGCTTAGAATAAAAAGCAGCCAAGGAGTTCGACTCCAAATTTCCGCAGGAAGTTTATTCCATAGTCTTTATGGAATAATCTTTATGCTTAAAGACCACGCGAATTTTTATACTTCTTCCCTGTCTAAGGTTATGCTTGATCATTCCTTTTCTATAACTTGCAGACGAAAGCGTATAATTTTATCAAAATGAGTAGAAGTGGAAAGTGCGTGTTCAAGTTATTCAATATTTATATAGCATTTTTTTTATTCATTTACTTTTATTTAAGCGGCGTTCGCGATGTGACTTTCGGTTTTTCACTTTTCGCTAGTTTTCTATTTTTTTAAGTCAGAATCGGCAGATGGCCCAGACCAGAATTTTTTATTTCTATTTTCCCTTATTTTTCTATCTATGAGGTTTCACTATTTTCGTTTGTCTTGAAATTTGTCGCCTAAATCGATAAACACTGCTCTACAACTCCTTATTAACTCTGAGTTGTATTATGACCCAAAAACAGAACTGAATTCAATCTTCACCAACAGTGTAGCGATATTAAGAAATATCAATGACCGCTCGATATACTTTTTAAAAAGTATTAAAACTGGGCTGTTTGTAATATAATTTGACAAATTAAAAGTGTGGTAATTTATAGATAATTATTTTAACTCACCAGGCCGAAGATTCCAATAAGCAACGCACCGTCTCGTAGACTGCATCCGCAGCAACATATTTTCACTAAAACTGCCATTGTGGATAAGTGGAAATATCTCTCCTTCGATTCTTCAAACTAAACTGAAACACATCGAAACTGCCGGAAGGTTTTTAACTCGCTTGCTCTCAAGATCCAATAGCAAATTCTCCGTGTTGACCTTGATTTCTAAACGGATCGACCTTGTTGATCTATCTCTATATTCCCAACTCCTTTTCATTGACAAAGTATTGAGTTTATAGGAGGATTTTGCATTCTGAATCTTTATGGGCGTCAACAGGTTAATATAATTGCCGAGGTACGTTTCGGTTTTCAGTCAAGCACGCGGTCATTACCGACAATGTCAACGTGCGTTATCTCCTGCTCACTTAAACGAATTTTGATGTTGCGTTGTCTATTAAAAAACCAGATTCTTCCATTGCAGCGCAAATTACTGTATGGATTTCTGATGAATACAACTGATAACTTACAATTTTCAACTGACGTAGATTTTAGTCTGTCGTTTTTGTGTTAGTGGTTCGGTTGTGCATCGGTGGTTCTGAGTTAGTTATTGAACAATGCCAGAGTTAGATCAAACATAAGTCCTAGTCAGTAGATATCCATACTATTGCAGCTAAAATTATATTTAAGGATTCAGAGTATTCTCCGTTTTCAGTGAAGGTGAATTTACGCGGGTGTACGTTAGATGAAGCAACCAAAAATTGCTCTCAAACTGTCATATCAAGAAATGGTCCATTGTTCCGGGTGAACTTTTCCATTAAGCATCAAACAAAAGTCCTGAGTAATTGGTAGTCCTCAGGGACTTTGGCCGAAGGGAGTTGGGAAAGCTCGTAACTGATCGAGAAAATTATCGGAGTGACAATTTTGCTGCACTGGGGGAGTGGGTAGTGTAAATATGTAAAATCAATCTCCATCGGTGTAGAGCCAAAGGTTCGCGAATTAAAAAATAATTAAAGCTATCCGTATTGCAGTGACTCATTTAAACCACCTCTCTCCATATGTAAGTTAAGTCGCCTGGTAAAAAATCAACGCACAAATATATTTTTTGGTCTTACTACTGGTGTTAAATGCAATCGAAAGTGACTATTTTCTGTGAGAGCCTCGAGGCGATTAAAGACCTTGTTTCTAGCGCACAGCTGTTTTCAAACGAGCCGCTCATTTTTTAGAACCAAAATGTTTACCTAACACGTGGATCCTCCTTTGCAAAAGCGCCGAATCCGTGTAACTATGTTGATGATACAAGATATACTGATGAAAGCAACGATTTCTAGTTTTTGCAAGAGCATGTATTTGAGTCGAGACTCCACTTGTGATTTCTTTCGATTTCTTTTCAATTTTTTTTTTTTTTTGCAACTTGCATTGCTCTAGGGTTAGATGCCGGTGGTTACAGTAGTTATGTGAAAATCGAAGAGTTGCTTCAGTGTGACTGATAAAACTTAGGAATGATACAATTGTTTCTGCTTTTCTATTTGATAATACCATCTGACCTTATTTTTATGGAAAGTACATAATAGCCTCGAGGGATCGCATGTGATGATTGAGGCTAAAACTCCGTATGGAAAACTCTCTTAAGATCGCGTCCTGTGAATTCAAAGTGTCAGGAGACTGGCTCCCAAGCATACGTGTCTCTTAGCATGTCTTATTTACGGTGTGCCCAACCGAAGAAAAAAAAAAGCGATAAATACACCTTCTGTTTAAAATCTCTATAAATTGTTATCCAAGTGACTGGTAAACTAAGAAGAAAAAAAAAACTCGAACTTGTTCACAATGAACTAGAAATTCATTATGTGCACCAAATACCATTTTCCATTTTATTTCATATCATAGCTTTAAATTTCATCATCTCGGCAAATATGTTCCGCTTTGCTGACTGTGTTTCGAAAAATATTCCCATTGAAGCGATGATAGATCAAGCATCTCGTTTTCTTCTCCAGGCTCTTTTCAGAATGTAAGCAATGATTTTGTTAGGGAAGGGGAGATAAAGATGATATTGGTTAAGGAACTAAATTCTTAATCTCATTCTGCCCCACTTCGCGATTCATACGCAGTGTTAACTGTCAATACCTAGCCATAATGATAGCCAATGATCCCACCTGATAAAAAAGTAGGATATTTTTCATAGCACTCATCTTTTAGGTATCACGAACAACACAGCATTGTCTCATAAAGTGGGAGATTCTTGCAGGTAAAAATATCGTCGTTTTTTGTGACATTGACTGAATTTACCAGGGGTATGTACATGAAACGGTTGAAACCACTGCCATCAAAGGTGGAAAATTGTGCACCAAGCAGCTTTAATTCAAACGAGTTCACTATTTTGAGCGACTAAAAGTTCAAAATTGGTTTCTCGTGGATCTTCGGAGCCCTTAGCAAAGATTAGAAGTATGCATATAAATCTTACACAAGATTTTAGAGTAACTTTTTAAAAGTGCTTCGGAGTGTCGGTAATACTTCTCAACTCAAGATATGTTCAGAAACTCTCTATTTAGTTGCCACTGAGAAATTAAAAAGATATATATATATATACAAAACATACGGGCTTCAAGAAACGTGGTATGACTTACGAGAAATATAAGGTGTAAGTGAAAATATGTTGCAATTAGAGACGAGACGAACAGAACTTGGACGGACCAAACATGCGGGCTTCAAGAAACGTGGTCTGACTTACGAGAACAATAAAACTGGGAAATAGTGAAAAGCAAGTAAAACAATATGTACTCATTGGCTAAGCTGAAGGCCTGACACGGGAAAATATTTGGCGCATGATAATGACCAGTTTCAAAACTACTTTTAAGGTAATGATAATTGACGGAAAAAGTCCTTAAGTCTTGTGTCAGTCTTAGAACTATTAAGTAAATAAAAATGATTGAAGTTAGAAAATTTACTACTTTTTGTAATAAGGGCGATATGAAGGGCTCCAACAACTAAGTCAGACGGATAACAGAGACTACATCTCTACATGTTTAAAACAATTTTTCTTTTTTTATTATTTAATGGACGCGATGCAAATATTGTTAGCACCCTCGGTCCGTGTGCGCCTGTGACAACGGATGAATGAATGATGAAGGTTATTATCACCTGGACAAATAAATGAATTG